ACTCTTGATACTATCAGCATACTTCTGTAAGAGTGAATGACTGTAATGCTTCCTTTCTTTTACATCCTCATAAACTACAAAAATAATTCGACAGGCTACAAGACCCTCTAACTGAGCAATAGCCTCTGACTGGTCAATACAAACAACTTTGGCAGCTATTTTTGCAGAGAAAGGCCCATGAAATAAGGAAATCACTACTGCAGATACCTTCAAACTTTTAGTGGAAAGTGTGTCGAATGTTTCTCTCACTACCGATATCTGATCCATGTCTACTCCATCTTCCTCAAAATCGAATGGCTTCTCTGAGGCATGTTCCTCCACTTAAGATTTCTTTGGAGTGAGAGCGAGTCTTGCAATGTGTTCATCAACAGATTTCCGTCCCTGTCGCAAAATAGGATCCAGTTATTCTAGAAAAAAGGAAGATCCTTTAGCGGCATTAACAAATTTAGCCATCTGATGGGATTGGACATCATTCATCTCTTCAGGAAAAAGAAATTTCTCCGAAAAATGGCGGGACTATCACGTCTCTTGTTACTCGTTCTAGTTTATCCCCGACACCAGCCATCTTTGAACGAATCTGAGCGGGTTTCTTCGGATAAACTTTTGGTTTTGTCGGGTTTAGTTCGGTGTTTGTTCAGGGTCTCACCTCTGCATTTCTACATTGTTATCGCTTTAAACGTAATAGCTACGTCGTCAAACGTTCTCACGTGTGCGTTTTACTCTGATCATATCTAACATATCCTTTGAAAAGGAATATAAATCGAAAGGAAAAAATAGAAAAGGTAAACATTTCAACTACAAAAACAACTTTATTTGTACCCTACATTAAGTTACATGATACAAAAATATATATTACTTGAAAAATGGAGAGAGTTCAGGCTGCCCGTAACTACCATTGAGGGCTAAAAAGAAAGGGCAGCCTTACTTAAGTTATTAACAAATTATTCAATGTGAACTTGACATACGCGATTTTGGATGTGCCAAACTCAGTCCAAATTGCTAGTAACAGCAAAATACCTACAACTTTCTGATTCAGAAATTACTTGCAAAAAAGTTGCTTTTTAAAAATGCATACAAATATTGTTATGCAGTTTATAAATTAATTCATCTCTAAAACCTACAGCCGCGCGCTTGAAAGAATAACAAATTTTCAGTGTGTTCGTATCATATGGTACAACATTCCCTACTAAAATTTGGTTCGTAGATGCACAAATACTGATTTACATATTTATATGTACTGGGAATAAAGTTTAACCAGTAAGCCAAATTTAGATGTAACATGTACTTTGGGCCTAATACTCTTAAAAATTCTGAAGTCATTTTGCCCAAATGCTGAAGGCCTCCTTAGACTTAAAAGGGTGGATAAATGAGCGACCATTTACGTGAAAATGTTTTTCTTTTTCCTGTTTTACATACAGCGGCGCCTCTGAGGATAAAAGAGAGCTGAATTGCGAACTCTCCCTTCTACCAGACTTTCAAATAGTCCAAAGATCTCAATTTACATTTAAAAAAATCAAACTTTTACTAAGTTTTCAAAACTTTTTTCAATTTTTGCTATCAGTCTTCATCCAAAGCCACATGGGTGCGTATGTGTGTGCATAACAAAGTTACATGGTCAAATCATGCAAATTTTCTATT